TCTCCATGTGGGCAGAACCTCGTTCTAAAAGATGTAACATGATGAAACTGGTAAAATATTCCAAAAAGACCAATTAACAGAAGCTTGTTTGTGGCAGAATTGAAACTCCAAAAGTGGGTAGCTGTTGAGTCATAAATGGCAAGATCAGAAAAAGAGAGGAAATCTAAGGAGTGAAGATTTTTACAAAGATAAGCATACACAGAACAGGGCAAAGGTACAGCCTTTTTTGCAGTCCTATCATGCCACCAACATCCTCATATTGCTAGAAAGTATCACACAAACTGTTTGAGGATAATACAGCCTATTCACTGAAAATCACCAAGCACCATGCTGAAGGCCAGTGGGCTGATGCCATCGAAGACTAAGGGGGACTTTGGGCTGTTGGGTGCACCATGGAAAGGATGGATTTTTTTCATAGACATTTTGCATAGTCACTTACACCCACAAAAAGTGAATATATCACACTGCTATTCCAATTTAACAGTGTTTTTCACTCATTCCTCAAAGGCATAAATGATGGCTCATGTCGTAGGACAAATGAGAGGAAGGAGCCCTTTAATAACAGCCACACTTAGGAAACGTGTTCCCTCTTGCACTGAAGTTAGTGCCTCTTTCTATTGACTCAGGAGCTCGTATTCCTAAGGGCCCAATTCTTCCAACAGCTTTGGAAGACTTAATTTGTTAAGACTTTGGCTGAGATCTGAGAAAGGCTGAAGCATTTTTTCCGAGGTGCCAGAAGTGAGGGCTTTTTTGCATTCTGATCTTCTGACATAGATTTTCTCACATCCAGTATCTGCCATTATTTATACAGCTCCGTTGGCATGTGTGGCATTCTGCAGGCTAGTAAGAAGTCAAGAACCATGCTCTGAGGAGTTCATAATCTAAAAATTGGCATATAATTTAATGACTAAGGACAAAAGAAAACAAGATAAAAAGAAAATTGCTCCTGGGAAAGTTCCACTGTTTATTTTTAATCGCAAAGAATGCAGATCATTCAGGCTGCTTCAGATTTGTTTCTTTTTTGAATGATTAGACATGCAAGAGAGAAAGAGGTCAGACACAGCCACCAAAAGTTCCCCTAGGAAGGATGAAATAGAAGCTACAAAGGGAATAAAATTTTCGGAACCAAACCCCCTTACTCTCCTGCCCTGCCTTTCCCCTCTGTTGCCAAAGAAGAACAAAGCAGGAGATTTCAAGGGGAAAACTTTTTATTTCCTAAAAATCGGGGTATCTTCAAGGTGATGCAAAACGCACCCACCCTTTGTTCCTACCTTTCCTGGGAGATGCAGCATGAAGTCGGGTTGTGGACTGTGCACAGAGGAGGGCTGCTGTGAGCAGCACCAGAGCTGGCACACGCTCACGCACCTTAGTGCAGTTGTAGGACCACCTTAAAATACTCTGAAAAGTGTTTGGCCCTGTAACCACCTAGAACCTGGGGAGCTGATATGTAGTTCCCAGCACGTTGCTCCTTTCCATCCCACTTGACATTTTTTCCCTCCCTCTCCTGCAACACAACCCAGCCTACATTTAGCAAACACATTCACACCATCAAGTTTAAATAGACTAATTTTTCGCTGCCTTTGCACTCAATGTTTCCCCCACAGAAGGAGACATGAATTTCACTGGCAATTATATTCTGAGTAACTCAATTAGTCCTGAAATACAGAACAGTGAGCATTGTATATTTTCTCTGTCTATCTCATTTATAATGCTTGTAGATTTTTTTTTTTAAAAAGCTTCTTTTTTCTCTGGCAATTCTCTGCTGATCATTAGCTATAAATAGATTATATTGATGCATGTAAATGCCTGCTTATTTTATAAACTACAGCTATAATTTTATTTTAAGGTAAATGTCTGGCAAGGAAAAGAGCAAAAAGGCACATGTTAGATGTATGCAAGATAACGCTTAAAACTACCAGTCAGGTTCTCCTCACCTACCCTGATTCCAAATGCGGGAACAGGGAATATGGCTGAATTACAGGCCAACAGATTTAATTATTTGGAAGAAAAAAGAAACATACAGAACAAATCCACTGTTGCAAGATATTTCCGAGATTCATACGGAATTCAAGAGTAACAGGAATATTTGAAGTTACATAAAAAAATAATAAATCTGCCATGCATCCCACAGAAGGGACATGTACTAACCTTGGTGTCTTAGGGAATTCTTAGGGAATTAAGTTTTCACTGTGTATTTCTTAATAAAAATTGGTGGAAAGTGATATCAATTATTTCAGCATTAAAGGAAAAAGCTGGGAGTAAAGAAGACTTTTCTTCTCCTGGGCCGTATAAACTGTCCTGTTGTATATATAATTTGTCCATTTTGATATTAATATTTTTTCTTTCTGTATAGTTATGTCACTTTGGTAGAGAAGGCAATGGAGAAAGTTAATTGGTCGTCTTGACTTTGGTAAGAAAAAAGGTAAATCTTCATTCTAAGGTGGAAGTTAAGTACACCCATTCAGCTTGGTAAAACTGACATGAATGTGAATCAGCAACATGCTGTGACTCAAGGTACACAAGTTCACAGCAAAACTGTATGAAAGAAAGGAAGATTCACTTGTGAAATGGAGAAAATCACTAACGCGACTCGATAATAGCTTTCAATTAGCAAATGTATCTTTTGCTATATGTTATGAAGCTCAGTCTGTTAGACTTAAAATAGAAAAAGCCAGCGAACAGTGAAGAAAAAAAATGCTGGTCTATTTTTGCTTTCTTTGCCATGTCCTAAAAGCAGTCTCTAGTTGTTGAACATAATGTGTTATCAGCTGATTGTACATTATCAGCTGACCAGAAGCCCAATGATGAGAACACCTCGTCTTCACAAATAAATATAAAAGAAAGAGTTTGGTCAGCATCAGACCCCAATCTCTTGTGAATTGGTACAAACCGCTCAGCAGTGATCTGTTGGGCAGCAGACCAAGGAATTTGAAATGGCACATGTTAGAGGATGAAAGTGGGGCATGTACATGTGTGCAATGAGAAAAAATTAGCCCTTCAGAAGTCATTTTGCATAGAGGCAAAGGCTGCTGCATCTCCACTCCTATCAGATTTGAGGTCAATGACTCTGTCAACCCCAATTTTCCTGATGGACCAGAGGAGAGACTTTCCTGCTCCTGTATCTGTCACATTTCCTCCAACCCAATTTGCAGACTGACAATGATAATGTCTTCTATTGCTGTTTTTTAAGTAATAAAATTTGAAAACAATCATAGAATTATAGAATACTTTGGGTTGGAAGAGACCTCTGAAGGTCATCTAGTCCAACCCCTGTGCCGTGGGCAGTGACATCTTCAACTACATCAGGTTCCTCAGAGCCCCGTCCAACCTGACCTGGAATGTTTCCAGGGATGGGGCATCCACCACCTCTCTGGACAACCTCTTCCAGTGTTTCATCACCCTCAGCGTAAACAATTTCTTCCTTAGATCTAGTCTACATCTACGCCCCTTTAGTTTAAAGCCATTCCCCCTTGTCCTGTTGCCACAGGCCCTGCTAAAAAGTTTGCCACCATCTTTTTTATAAGCCCCCTTTAAGTCCTGATAGGCTGCAATAAGGTCTCCCCGGAGCCTTCTCTTCTCTAGGCTGAACAACCCCAACTCTCTCAGCCTTTCTTCATAGGAGAGGTGGTCCATCCCCCTGATCATTTTCGTGGCCCTCTTCTGGACCCGCTCCAATAGGTCCATGTCTTTCT